AAGGACACATAACAGCAACAACTAAGCCTCTGAGAGTCCCATGGTCAACTCAAAGAGACCAATAATCTAAGCTTCATCACTAAACACAATTCTTTATGTAAACCCAGAATGTAGTTCCTCGTGATCTACTTCCTCGATTTCTTCTTCGACTTCGACGAACGCTTGCTTTGCTCAGTGCCTGCATTCTGAGAAGTTTCCTTAGTACTGACATTCGCCTTAGAGTTAACCCCACCAGCAGCCTCCTTAGCGACAGCACCCTGTGATCCCCGAACCTGAGCAGCCCTCTTATCCTTCCTCTTGGGCCTATAGCTCGACCTCTCCCTCTTCGGAAGCCACCTCTCCGGATCAGGCGGTGGGCCTGGGTTTTCCGGGTCGAACCCTTTTGGGTATTTGGGCTTTCTCTTTCTCTTCTTCTTATTCTTCTCCTTAGCTTTCGGCTCAAAAGCTTCAGCAACACCTGCTGAAACCCCATTCTCGACGTGCTTTGCCCCAGATGTCTTCTCCAGACTCTCGACATCGATTCCCTTCAAACCCGGAAGCGGTTTCAACTGCTTTTCGTAAGACTCTGCCTTCTCGACATTCGTGTAAGCAGCAGTTTTGATAAGTCCCACCAAAGCTTCGACACTATTGCTGCTCCTCACGAGCTCCTCATACAGACGGGCGGCTTCTTCCTTTTTCCCGTGCCTGAGCTTAAACGAGGCAGCTTCTCGCACTATAACGTCGCGCTTATTGTTTTCAGTCATTGCATTCGACCACCATTTTATGGCGGAGTCGAAAACGGCATCTGCGCCATCAATATCGCCAGCTCGTTCCTTGAGAGAGACGACTGTGGCTACTGTTGCGGGCTTGTGTTGGATGTCGTGAATTTTCAGAAGGGACTCGGCAGCTATCTGAGGGTGGCCCGCAGCAGCAGCTATCTGGGCCCGCGCGAGAAGGATTGTGTTCGACTTTTCTGGGAATTTGGCTGCATTCTGGCCGAGTATCTCCTCTGCCTTGTTAGCTTTGTTCTCACGTATGTGCACAGCGGCTTGGAGGAGAATTGGGGTTATACTGTTTGGGAACATGGCTGGAAGGACGAGAGAAAGTTCTCGGGCCTGCAAAATTGTTAACCTATGACTTGTGTATATACTATATATAGATAAAAGGCCTAAATTATAAAAGTGCCCCTAAAATAGCTTAGTTTATAGGAGCTGTTGACAAAGATGGGTCTGTTTCTTCCAAGGAATAACAAACACCTCTATCTTGAGGGGCTTAAATAGTTAGGCTAAAGTTCGGGGTAGCTTTTGTTATTAAGCAGAAGAAGGTAAAACGAAAGTTGCACATCGATGAGAAGAAAGGATATAGTGTAAATGTGTTACCTGATCTAGTTTATTAGAGTGAAGTAGCAATAAGAGACGGTTTCCGTATATTGCCTCTCTTTGCTTTTGAGAAAGCTTTAGGTCAAGGCCACGAGCAAGATGGAAGGGCAGATGCCCTTCACCTTTCTCTATCAGCTTGTCGAGTTTTCTGAGGCCATCAGATACATCCTTGGGGCCCTTTAGGGCGATGAGGTTGCTTATTGCCACAGCAACTGATGATTCATCTGCCAGATTTTTCTTTATCATACTGGAATATGATTCAAATGCTTCTTGAGTGTTTCCTAGGACCTGTGGTAACAACAAATGTAATGTTAATGAATCACTGCCTACAATGAAGTTTGGATACCAGGAGCGAAATGCACAACGAACCTGTTGAACATAGGCTAGCTGAACAGTAATAGGTGCCAACTCAATTTCTATGTCATCATCAGCTAAATTTTCTTCCATTAGTGTTTCCTGTCCAATTCTGCAGAAAGTAACTAAAATAAAAAATTCATACACGCTTCTTAGCAAATTTATCGACATTTTTGAGATTGGATATCACCTTCGAGCAGAAAGCAACAGTTGCTCTGCATCTTTATACTTGTTTCTTTCTAGCAATGAGCAGGCAACATTGTAAGCCAGCTCAAAGCTGTTCGTTGGCTTAACTCTGAGAACATCCATAATTCCCTGAACTTCAGCAGCCCTCCCAGCAGAAACCAATGCGGCAACATAATTTATTTCCAAGGAATCTACCTTCGACTTCTGAAGTTTTTGATATACATCAACACAAGCATCCATTTTTCCTAAACGGTATAAAATCTGTGATTCTAGGTACATAGCAGCAGAGTTTCCTTCTTGCCCTTTCAAAGATCCCAGAGCATCATCCAACTTATTTTTCCGATATAAGCAGTATGCCTATTACGGGGAAGGAAAAATATATTAGTATTTGGGGAAATGCTTAAATTTGGGTTACTAAACAGATTAACCCAGACAAGGGGCTAGATACCATATAAATGCTACAAATAGTCCAATCAGCTGATTGGCACACATTTAACTCATCTAAATCAAATAGAGAAACAGGATTGTGACGTTTGGCCACTGCACACATATCCAAAAAACAAAGGAGAATGAAAGAAGGATAATAAATTCTGACAAGGGAAATTGGATATATGAGTGCAAGAGTTGAAAATCAGTTATACGCACAAACATTCAGATCACTGTTCTAAGAAAATATAAACATACATAAAAGAACTGACTCAAATCTCCGGCAGTGATACTTGGTATATAAAAAATGTTTTTCCAAAAAAAAAAAAAAAGGGATCAGAATACAAGTACATCAAAGGATTTGAGTCTAATCGCAAAAAATATATCATAACACTAAAGTTCCTGCCGCCAAATTGCAACTTGTCGACTGAAAGTCTGAAATGCTAACTAGAAAATACATATTCACTGTAAAGCACCATTCTTCCAAAAACATGAATACAGACCACTGTAAGGCATTATTTTTGTTCATAGGCTCATAAGCATAAATAACTACACCCAATCTGAGCTAAATAACTAAATCATAATCTTGCATAAGAACATCGAGAGCAAGTGCTACACTATAAATTTTGTTGCATTGCTTGTACCTTTGCAGAGTAACAATAAGTAGGTCTTAATTAATCACCAATAAAAATTAAGAATGAAAGGAAGAAAACAATTGAGTATGTTTATCGAACCAATACATCACCTTGAAGAAACTGAAATCGATGGACGACTTCTTAGAATAGATTTCGATTGCCGATAAAGCATCGTCAATGCTGTCGTTCTTAATCAAAGCCACAACCTTACACCGAATCGCATCCTCATCTCCCGGTGCAATTGAAATAACTGAAAACCCCAAATAATAGAAACATCAAATTTATACGCATTCGAGCTTCCAGCAATTGATGGGCGGATTTGAACACATACGAGTCAATTGAGTTACATATATACCTTGATCTGAGACTTTGATGGCTAGGTCGTATTCCGACCGTTGAATATGGCGATTGAGGGTTGTGAAGAGGTCTTCGACGGCAATCGCGGGGGCCGCGGCGGCGGCGGGCCTTGCTTTCTCTTTCGCCTTCGGAGCCATCTCTGAGCTTTGATTTCTGCGATTGGAGTCCAAACCCAGCCTGGGAAAGAGTTAGTAATAAGAAAGTTTGAGAAAATTGTAAATTTGGTCATGGAAGATTGAGCCAATTGTAAAATTGGTCCCATAAATTGTAAAATCAATCTTTTTTTAAATTTTGTTGTAGATGGTTTCAACTCTCAACCCTATCAAAACTAACGGGAGGTGTTAGGTTGAAAAAGAAGAAATTGTAAATTTTAGCTTGGAGGCATCTTTAGCAATGTTTTTTCATAAATTTCACTTTTACACTTTTCAACAGACCACATTATTTAAAACATCATCTTTACTCCTATACTCAGGACAAAACTCCTTAAACCTCCTTTTTCATTTTCCAATGCATCACGTCACCCAAAACCTTAATCTTATTCCTACATTACAAACCTCTAATAACAATAAACTTTACATATTTACTTTATATGAGTCCCACATGTTTCCCACTGCTATATTATAAAATTATTATTTTCATCCTTTCTACTCTTTTTTCCTAATTTTTATATTTCTTTAATGCACTTGGAGGTTTTTGTGAAGTTTGAAATCTCAAACCTTGTTTAAAAACACAAACCTCAAACCTCATCCTTATCCTTATAGTGATAAACTTGAGAGGTTTGTGTTTTTAAATATCTCCAAAACCTCTTAGAGCATCTCCAATGGTTGGAGTGGATTGACAATTAAATAGATGGTCTTCTGGTCTATGTGAAAGGAATAGAATGTCATGTTGATATGTAACTCTCCAGTGGTAGATGTCTACACACTGTAAATAATACACGTGTTTTTTTTTTTTTTTTTGCCAAAAACGGCACACAAACTGTGAACCAAAAATACAATATACACGACAAATGTTGCTTTTTCTTTTACTGTTGCAACAAATTTTAATCAATTTTGAACCAACAAAAAAGCTAGGCTATATAAATTATTCTTGTAATACACGATAAAATGTTACCACCCACAAGCTAATTGATATTCATCAGGTTTTTTATATCAGATATATTTATTCTTTGGAGAGCTACTACCAAAACCCAACTGGTATTCATCTTGTATTTGCTTGTATTATTTGTTATTTCTTTTTTTTCTTGTATTCATCTGGTATTTTTATCAGGTATATTTTTAACGCAATTGATATTCATTTGTCGGTATATTTTTATCAGGTATATTTTTATTAATAATACATTTTAATTAAAAATAAAAGAATTAAAAAGGAGTAAAATAACGAGTCATCAATTCTAAACTGACTTTCAGATGTAGAAAGGCTTCTACATTTTTGGACTTTCTTTCCTGCCACATCATCAGAAGTAGAAATTAAAAAACCACCGTCGGAGAAGATTTTTTGTCCAATATCTCTACAATTTTGCAATTAACATACCACTGGAGATGCTCTTACTAAAGATGCCCTCATAAACCTCCAATAACAATAAACTCCATAAACCTCAGTTTTTTATAGGTCTAACATGTTTCCCACTTACTTTTAATTAATGTTATCCTCTTATATTTTTATTAATATTTTAAAATTATAACTCTATTTTTTTTTATTAAATGTAAATCTTTCATATATTTATCATAAATTGGTCGTGCTGTCGTAGGCACCCAAATTAACATTGCTTAAAAATATGTAGTAGTGTGAGCAAGGATCGTATCCACGGGGAGAAGTAAACTAAATCTATCAACTATGTAATTAAAAAGGGGAGATTTTGAAATAATGATCTAATTAACTAGAAATTACCTATCAAACAATAAATAAAAATATTAAAATAAAATTCAAGAGATGAAAGAAAAAATAAAATATGAATATGCCTTGATTGAATTGATTTCCACTCTAGACTGTTCCACCGATCATTGATGCAAAAATATAAACTCACAATCCACGCAACTGCCGTTAAATATAAATTCTATCTCCTAATTTAGTCACGCAAAATAAATCCTTCTACGAGACTCTTATAACTAGTTAATTCCCAACATCGTGAAGAATTATTCTAGCAATAGCATTAAGTACAAGAGACAGACAGTCCAAGCAATAAATAACTAATCCGTTAAATATTAACTTGTTCAATTATTTCGCCTAAGAACGACAACGCCTAAATCCGGTCAATCATCTATCTTAGTTGCTTCTAGTGAAAGACACATGATCTAAATCCGACTCAAGTATCAATCAAGCAATAGATCATAAGCATAGAATAATAGGTGGCCAATCCATCAACTACACATAACAATCATAAAAATATACACACGAAACATTGATGCGAAAAATATATGAATTGAAATAAAAACTAATTCGATCTCACAGTAGTAGGCTTGGGTTTCAATCGTCTTCAACCAAGACAAAGATAAATTAGCCGCACAGGGCTATCATAATCCAAGAGAAAAATAAAAACAAAAAATGAAGAAAAAAATGAAAGAGAGAAGAAGAAAGAAGAGCATTATTACGAAACAAAGAACTTACGAATGTATAATTATAATATAAGTGTTAAGTACGTACGAATGTATAGTTTATAACTATATAGTATTAAGTACGTATGAATGTATAGTTATATTGCATTATTTATAATATAATTATATATAATTATATTGCATTATTTATAATTATATAGTGTTAAATTAGTGTGTATCCCGTGCGCTGCACGGACGAGCTTTTTACTTAAAACCTTCTCTAAGACTTTATATTAAACATAGTTATTTATGTTTAACATCTCATTATTATAAGAAAAGAAATACTAAATATGAAAAATTATATATTATTTATTTGAATATAACGAGTGTCCCCAACCAAACTAATAACATCCAACATATGATATATGATAAAATTAATTATATGATCGTCATACTTTTTGAAAAACTATACATATATTTCTAATAAACATGATACATTTAAGATCCGCATTTAAATTTGTATTTGGATATGGGATGAAAAATGAATATGTACAAAAAAAAGTACCAAGAACCCACATAAAATGAGATTCTTTATAAACTTTAAAATATTTTGTAGTTAAGCAAATATTAACAAACAAAATCATCAATTAAGTTGAACTTTTCGAATATAAAATATAATTTATGATATCATTGACCATATTTACCCGTTGTATTTAAAGATATCATTGACCATATTTTTATGAATTAAGGTTTACAAAATATCTTTTTCAATAACAATTTTTTTTTAATTTGAATTTGACTTTTTCATCCAACCGCCATTTTCCACAAAAATAAAAAAATAAAAATAGTATTTTGGAAAATGTTAGACGTGAAAATCAAATAAAATTAATTTAATAGTAATCGATTAATTTAATATTATTCAAAATTGTTTAATTCGGTCAACCCGATCGCAGTGCACGTTTAATTGAAACAATCGCTTACAAAAAAAAAGGTAATCGCTTACAAAAAAAGGAAGTGAAATCTATCTATATAATATAAATCGGATTTTGAAAAAAAAAGGAAATGAAATTTCGTAATTAATTAATTTAAATTGATGTTATCCGATTTATATCAACTCCCTTCCAAAAAAAAAAGAAATATCCGATTCCTACCAAATCGATTCTAAAAAAAAGGATTATGATATACGTCCAAATAAATTACAATAGAAATGTAGACGGGATTATGAAAAAAAATAAAAAATCTTTACCGAATAAAGTAATAAAACGAAAAAAAAAAGCGGGAATATGAAGCGGGAAAATGAGATAGTTATTTTTTAGTTTTTTCAACAATTTTTCTTAGTCGTAATATATAGTAATAGATTTCCAAAATGTTACCACACATTTTTTTTCAATTTTTGTTGTTTTTATTAAATTTTATTTACATAAGATATACCTTGGTTAATTTTAAATTGAATCTAAAAGTCAACTCCTCACACTTTTCGAAAAATGTTACCACATAATTTTTTTTTCTTATTATGTTTTATTTAAATAAGATATAAATTAGTGGTTACTTTTAATTTGAATTTAAAATTCAACTCCTCACATTTTTGAATTTGAATTTTTAAATAAGGAAATGTGTTTCCATATTTTTTGGAAGTTAGAATATGTTGGATTTATTTATCTATAACTAATCATACACGTATTCAAAATTTGAACCAAAACAAAATTCTTTGAATTTTTTGCTAACAAAATCACCTTCCCATAATTTATTTATTTCGAAAAATGTTACCACACAATCTTTTTAATTTTGTTTTTTATTAAATTTTATTTACATAAAATATACTTTTGTTAATATTAAATTGAAGTTAAAATTCAACTCATCACAAATTTGTTAATATATATATATATATATATATATAGAGAGAGAGAGAGAGAGAGAGAGAGGATTCTCTTTTTTTTACATATTTAAAAAAAATCTAATCAAATTTTGAATCCCGAATTAAAATCGGATTGTAATGTGAACTGAAAAGATTTGAAATCTAATCATGTTGTAGATAAGGGAAATCCATGGAAAAAAAAAAGGAGAAATCAAACCGAAAAAAATTAAAACCAAATCATGTTGTAGATATTATATTAATTAAATAAGAATTGCATGGCACAAAAAACTGGAAATGCATGGCAGAGTCTAAAAATTCGAATTTTTCAAAAAATTACAACCGAAAGATTTTGGTAAAAAACCAAATATAAAAGAGGGAAATGACTTTAAAAAAGCGGAAAAACGAAATAATTTTTTTCGAGTTTTTTGAACAATTTTTCTTAACCGTTTATATATTAATAGATACGTATGAATGTATATTTACTTATAAAAATTACGAAACAAAGAACTTACATAATGTTGAAAATTAAATTTTGAGTACATTTTTTTTTTTTTTTATAAATATTAATATTAGGAAGTAGGTTCATTCCAAATATGTTCAACCAATTCATGTCGAAGTTGATGATGAATTTGTCTGTCTTGCACCTCAACTCTTATCTGTAAGTAGCGTCGAAAATTAGGAGACACCCCTTCACGCGCTAGCGCTGGTGGTTCCGGTTCATCATTAGACCAATTGGTAGCTTCTTCGCCTTAATACTCGATTATCATGTTATGTAAAATGATACATGATAACTTAATTTCGCTAAGATCTTCTTTATACAAAAAACGAGAAGGACCTCGTATAACTGTCCATCTTGACTGGAGGACCCCAAAAGCATGCTCAATGTCTTTTCTTGCAGCCTCTTGCCTTTTCTTGAATTTTTTCCTTT